AGGGTCAACTGAAAAATTGTTGTCTATTGACAACAGTCCTCCTTAGGACTACCCTCACCCGGACGATCAGACTACACGATCGCACCTCAGTCATTATAACATAACCAAAGTAGAGCGTGCGCTCTGATTGGTCAATTTAGCGTCCCCCATTTGCCCATGGGTGTGCGCTCCTGACGTGAGCAAATGCAAAGACTATTTTTCCGCGCGCGTTGTTTTTTCTGGTCACGTAAGATTTGTTAAATAAAAGGGAACTCGTTAGCTACAAGGTATCAATGTTATGTTATAAAACAAATGGTAAACACCACAGCGTACAATATTGAGTTATGGATGCACCTGGGAGATTTTCTAAGCACTCAAGAAGCTAGAGTCGCTCTCGGCTATCGCCTCGCGCGACTCTTACGTTCATTCGTGCTCAGCAACCTCCCGCGTGCACCATAACTCAATAGTGTACGCTGTGGTGTTTACCATTTGTTAATTGTCACTGACAGTAATAAATTCAGGTATATTTAAGATGTTCGTGTAAAGGCTGGGGGAAGCTAGTCGTGCTTTTTGAGAGCTAAAAAGGCTCGGCATTGCTATCGTAGAAAACTCGGAGAGGAGTTCTTTAGTTTACTGCTACTCGCATTCCTATTAAAAATAATTACAAAAGTGTCGAATATGGATATTGTTGTCCACTACAAGATCTATAAAAAGGGTTCTTGGCTTACAGCCATCCCAGCTGAGTATAATTACTGAAGATGCCTTGGGGAAGGTCTCTCAGCTTGTTTTTGTTTAAGTACCTATTAAGAAATCGTTAGAAATGTGCAAATTACCTGCAGAACACAACCGTTACGATAAGAATGACACCTAAACGCTAAATCTCTTGATTGTGAAAACCATACATAAGGAAATGAATAGAGAAAGCAACTAATCGATAAATTTGAAGTCATTGAGTCAATACCTTTATGAAACCTTAACGTGAAGTATTTTAATGCCTTTGCTGCACTTGGACACTAGACAAAGATTAACGGCTAGAAATAGCATGATTATGATGGCGGGCACGTGGTGTCTGACCGTATCTTGGATCATAGGTTACTCTCTTCAGCGTAATGACCCATTACCGCCAGAGTTTTTGCCGCTTTCTGATACATATGCTAAGAGCAGCACTAGCTATAGCTAGCTATTGGCTCATGTAGTGCTTCTCATGGTTGGCGTTCTTTTACTTCCTTTGGTATTGAATAATTGCTTTATAGTTAAAATTTAGCTTATCGACGAATTTATTCCTTGTCCGTAGTCATACAAAGAATGCTGTGTATCCCAGGCTTCAAAATAGTTACATTAATTGCTGTTTAATTATTAAACTAATTAAATTTAAAAAAAAAAGTAGCGTCGGCAGAGAAAGTACACTAGATTGAAAAGTTGATGTTTTTCATTTTTATTTTTGTGATGTAATAAAGAACGTTTCCGGCTCTGTTTATGTTCCAACCTTTGTTCAATTCAAATTGAGTTAGAACTTAAGAACATTTTAGATTCTTTGTTAGAGAGGTTTAACAACTTTATGCCCTCTTTGGTTAACTCAAGCAAGAAAATACTTCATTCTCTATTTTGCTGTTCTAATATACGCTGGGAATTAACTTTGCATCGTTTAGGACGAGCGCGGTACTAATTCTAAAAGAGGATCAAGTCAAGTGACTAAATCCCTCATGTAGACCTTATTCTTGAGCAAGTCCCTCTTAAATCATTCTAAGATTATACCCGTTCTTGTAGACCTTTGGAGAATATAGCCTGTCCCGTGTGAAACATTGTGCACATGAAGAATTCCCACGAATCGACTATCTGTCATCCTACATACTATTTTATCCAGGGGCTATCCTGATTGACTTGGGTAATACGACACGAAAGGGTATCCTTTGAAAATAAGGCCTTAAGGGGGGAGGGGAGTAGTTCTACAATAGCGTGAGAGGGATTCCTCTGAGAATATCGCTTTCAGTGGGGAAGCCGTCTTCGAGATCAAGTTTTTCTTGGTGTTTATAACTTTTTAACCATACTCACAATTTTTCCGTGGCAAGTGGAATTTTCCATGGAATTGAATGGAGATTTTTTCCACTGCAATTCACACTGATGCTGGTTTGCTGGAAGACGTCACATTTGCACGGGTCTGGGCATTCTAAAATAAGCAACAAATAACATTGTAAAGATGATTTGATTGGCAGTTAAAATTCGTCTTTAAAGGCTTCAGATTTGAAAGGGTTAAGTCCCTTGTTTTGGCAACGAAGAATACCTCATTTGAAATAAACATATCGGTAAAAGCGCAATTACTAGTGTTAGACCCGAGCACTTCGGTGTTAGGACGTAAATTACCCATAAAGAACGAGCGTGGTTCAAAAACTGAATCAAAGTTCTAAACTGGATCAAAAACACGAACTTAAGGTACGCTGTATGGAGGCACCAAAATCGACAGACTGTGGCATGGCAACTTCAAATGGTATAGAAATACGTTTAGTAATCATTTAATTACGCCGTCCCCTTCAACAGATAACCGATTTATCATTAAAACTTTGAACAAGAAAGAGCATATAAGTTAAATTAAAGGGATATTTAAAGATTACTATGAAAGATTAAAGAACATTTAACAACCAAAGTAGCTTAACCGTTTTTTTTTTATTTTTTGCGTGGTAAGAATTAAGCAAATTAAAAAGTTCACGGAGGTTTACACAATCCAGTTATCAAAAGTACTGACATAGTTCTATGAAGCAATGAGACCTCACCTTCAACTCTGAGGCTGATGTTCCTTTTAAATATCTTTCCATCTCTTTGTAGCTCGCAGCTGTAATTCATGTTGTTCATTTCCGAAGTTATTTTTAGTTGAAATGTTATGCTGGTACTATTTTGAACAGCGACACCATTTTTTCTCCATACAATGTATGGAGCCGGTGCACCTTTCACTGGGCACCATAAAAAAGAGGTTCTGTTCAAAAATACAAACTGCGTCTGTGGTGCTTGTTCCATGGTTGGATTGACTATATAATGTTTCAAAGAAAAAAATTTTGAAATGATTATTGCATACAGAACAACTAAACCTTAGACACATGCATACATACATATGTTATTCACCAGGCAAAGGGTCCATATTGGGAAAAACTGTGCCCGAAGTCTTGAGTACCGCCCGAGGCCGTTGGCCAAGGGCAGTATTCAAGACAGAAATGTTTCTTCAAAAACAGTCAATGTTCTACGAAAGTGTCGTTTACTTCCGTCGACGATTAATATATGTCCTGTATTACATGACGTTGTGAGCGCAGATAAGTTTCGTGTAGGCTTACATCAAGTATGAAGAATAAAGGAGCACATGGTCGAGTAGTGTGTTAACTTCGTACATGCGAACTTCAAGGCGAGTAATTCTGCAATTTATGCATTAGGAGGATACAACATTGGCGACGAGGATACATCTGTGAGACACACGATGTCTTCGAGCGAAAATGCCGCTTCCAATGCGATTCCTAAGTTCGATTGTCACTCGGAACCTGCTACGTTGGGACCACGCTGGACGCGATGGTTAACATCTTTTGAATTGTTTGCGGATGACAAGGGCCTAATCATCACTGAAAGTACTAATGCAACAAGGAGGCAACGAAGAAGAGCTATGCTACTCCATTTAGCGGGACAAGATGTGCAAGAAATTTTCTCTACTATCGCGGACACCAGCGACGCAACCGATTATTTTCTCCCCAAAGTCAACTCCGCTTTCGCTTGCCAAAAATTTAACCGACTCCAACACAAGCCAGGTGAGACTGTCTTGCAGTTTGCAACCCGACTGTGAAAAGAAGGGAAGGACTGTAATTTTGGGGCAGACTTTGATAATAAGATAAGAGATGCGATCTTACGCAAATGTAGGTCAGATTATGTTAAACGTAAGTTACTTGAAGAAAGAGAAGAACTTACTCTCGCACGCACATTAGAACTTGCAAAACAGTGTGAAAGTGTAGAACACCAAATGTCTCAGCTCAGTACGAGTGAACAGACTAAAGAAGCACACAGGGTCTATGAAAAACCTAGAAGACCAAAAGGTCAACAAGGAAATTCAGAAAACAAGAATAGAGACAGTCAATGTTCTCGTTGCTGATGGAGTGGTCACCTGGGTGGAGATCCAAAATGCCCCTCCAGAGGTCAAACATGTAAAAAATACAAAAAGAAAGGTCACTTTGCTAGTGACTGCAAAACCAAACCAAGGAAGCCAGGAGTTAACCAGGTGCAAGAAGAACACCAATCCAGTGGGGAGCAAGTAGATTATGCATTCAGTGTCACCAATGAAGCTTAGTCAAAGATACTCAAATCGTCTGTGGGAGGAGTACAATTAGAAATGTTGGCGGATTATGGGGCCACCAACAACATCGTTGATGAATGTACATGGGAAGATCTGAAAGCTCAAGTGTAAATCTCAAGCCGCCCCTGTCGACAGAAAATTGTATGCCTATGCATCCAGCAAACCCAGTAAAAGGTCGCTCCGTATGCGAAGTACTAGTGGGTAAAGGAAGAGTCCAGGCCAAATTCCTAGTCATCAAAAGGGAATACCTCTCCTGAGCAAAGGCACCGCAATGAGGCTGGGGGTGCCGAAAATGACATCGCCACAATCGCTGAAAGCAAACAGACACTGCAACAAAAATTCCCTGAAGTGTTTAATGGGATCTGAAAGTTGAAGTCCAAGCAAGTAACATTGCCTATAGATCAGGCAGTGAAACCAGTAGCCCAACCCCAGAGGCGAAACCCCTTCAAAAAAAGGTTCAGGAGTTGTTGAATTGTGATATTATAGAGGAAGTAGACGGGCCTACACCATGGGTAAACTAAGTGGTGATCATACCGAAGGTAGATGCTGGCATACGACTCTGCGTTGACATGAGGCAAGCGAACAAGGCTATAATACGTGGTAGATACCCAATACCAACTATAGATGAACTGCTACACAATATGAATGGTTCAAAAGTCTTTAGCAAGTTAGACCTAAAGTAGGGATATCACCGATTGGAACTAAGTCCAGAGTCGCGACAGATGACCACATTTGTGACGCACAAAGGCTTATGCAGGTACAAACGTCTATTGTTTGGCGTGAGTTCGGCGAGTGAGCAATACCAACACGAGATATCCACAGCTTTAGCTAGCATAGAAGGGGTCGACAATATCTCTGACGACATCATAGTACACGGTCCGGATCAGGCAACTCACGACCAACGCTTGCATAAGACAATGGAACGTCTCAAGCAACATGGCCTAACCCTCAATGCTGACAAATGCCTGTTCAATGTCAACAGAGTGATTTTTATGGGTATTCTTCTCTCTGAAAAAGGGATTGGCCAAACAGAAAAAAGAGTCAGAGCCTTGCAAGAAACAATGGAGCCTGCCACTGTCAGCGAAGTAAGAAGTTTCCTGGGATTGGCCAATTATAGCAGCAGATTCATTCCTCATTTTGCTACCATCACTGAACCATTAAGGAGATTAACCTGAAAGAATGCTCCATTTCACTCTGCACCCGAGCAGAAAACAGCTTTTAAGACCCTGAAACAGAGCATGGCTGACGCAGGAATACTAGCTAATTTTGACAAAGGTGCAGCCACTAAAGTCATAGCTGATTCCAGTCCAGTCGGCCTTGGAGCTGTGTTAGTGCAGAATCAGAATGAAGCATGGGTGACAATTTGCTATGCCAGCCGCAGCTTGACAGAGTGTGAGCGCAAATACTCCCAGACCGAAGAGGAAGCCCTTGCTTTCTTTTGGGAATGCGAGAGGTATCATGCATACATTTATGGCATGAAATTTGATCTAGTGACTGACCACAGGCCATTGGAGGTCATCTATTGTAAGTTACAAAACGTTTCCCGTGTTCAGTCCGCGCGGGACTGGTAATCTACGTCATGTATTGTTGATATTATGGTATGGACCATGTGCTCTGACCTCCAGAGGTCAAAGTTCGGTCCTAAGTGTTTGTTTATTTTTCTCATGAATGTTTTCTTCACGTTTCCTGCGAGTCCACAAATCTTGTGAGTATGTAGTCGCTGTAGTATTTTCGTTTCGCTTCGTTTTGTTTACGTTTGTTTCCTTTTTTTGTATAGTCAAACCAGATCTTCGTAATTAAAACCTTATTCGAGTATTCAAGTCTACATCTATGGGCCGCGTTCCAAGCCCTGTTCCCGCATTGAACGCCGGATAATACGCCTACAATCCTACGACTTCCAAATCGTGTATACTCCAGGGGAGAATAATATAGCTGACCCTCCTTCCCACCTGCTCAAGCAAGATAAAGTGGTGAATCATCCTCATGGAGTAGAAGAATACATTCGATTCGCAGCCATCAGTGCCACTCTCCAGGCATTAAGTACAAGAGAGGTTGAAGAAGCATCTGCAACAGACGAAGAATTAGAAATCCTGAGAGAAGCGATTAAAGCAGGCCGATTTGAGAAATAGAAAAGATCGGATCCCCTAGTACACTTAAAATTGCTTCATCTTTACATGATTTGAGAATGCAAAGAGTACGCACCAGCCGCAGGAGAACTGTGTGTGATTGGACAGCTGGTCTTAAGAGGTACCCGTATTGTATCACTAAACAAATTCAGATGTCAGGCAATCAGCTTAGCCCACGAGGGACACCAGGAATCGTGGGTACAAAGCAAAATTTAAGAAGTAAAGTGTGGTGGCCTCATATGAATTAAGTGGCAGAGAAATTCTGCAAGTCCTGTCATAGATGTCAACTGGTATCTCGCCCAGACCCACCCGAGCCATTGAGATCCACCACACTACCAGAAGGACCTTTGCAAGACCTAGCCGTAGATCTTCTAGGACCACTTCCATCTGGATACTCAATTCTCGTTGTTGTGGACTGCTACAGCCGTTATTATGAGTATGCAATCATGATGTCAACCGTCACAGAGAAAGTAATCGAAAACCTGGAGGAAATTTTCAGCCGCCATGGCCTACTTCTGACCATCAAGTCTGATAATGGTCCACAATTCCGCTCAGAAGAATTTCGCGAATATTGTAAGCAGAATGGAAATGTTCATATGAAGACCACACCAAAATGGCCTCAAGCCAACGGGGAGATGGAGAGAAAAAATGCATCCCTGATGAAGAGGATTGTAAGTGTGGTCTTTCTTCCATACACCAAAAAACTAAAAAGTCAAATGAGACGCTTTAACTAAACCAAGGGGATTTAAAGCGTTATTTTCTCATTGGATTCCATCGGTTTTTGTTGCGCAATTTACTGTGCAAATGTCCAAATTGATCATAAACGGACTTCCAAGGAATCACCCAAAGCGTTATTGAAATAGAACTCAAAACTTCGCTCTCCTTTTTCCAACGAACAAATTGTGTGATCGAATTCGGATTTTTGAAGAAGGAAAGTTACATCAATTAAATCATTCGAAAACATATACCTCACATTCTAATTACTTGAGATTCTTTTTCCAAGCATTAAAATTAATCACTGATAATTTTTAAGCAACATGGCAACCCATTTAATAGCACATTTGCTATCACAACTTCAGTTCTGGTGGCAACGAAAGTGATTTGAGAGAGAAAGAAAGGGAAGGATTTATAGTATTGGACCGATACTCATGGTCTTAAAATAAGTGAGGAGAATTTGCTACCTTTCTGATCAAAAAATGGATAAATATTCTAGTCGGATAAGGACGAACTTATAAACCGTAGGCCCCGTCTCCTGCAGGGTTAGGGGTAGGAGACGTTAATTTCCCAAGCACGAGATTACTGTGTAGTGGATGTCCTCCCCTGGGGCGAGATGGGTGGGAATTGGCCCTGAAAAGCCCCAAAGGGGGAGTGGTCAACTAACGTATGTATGTATGTATGTATGTATGTATGTATGTGTGTATATGTAT